ATGTTTTCCTGGCTTGATAGCTCATTTTTTCTTAGTGCAAAATAATATTCTATTGTCTGGATGTGCCACAGTTTATTTATCCATTCACCTGCTTAAGAATATCTTGGTTGCTTCCAAGTTTTGGCAATTATTAAGAAAGCTGCTATAGGAGTACCTGGGTGGCTCAGTCAGTTAAGCATCCAACTTTGGCTCAGGTCATGAGCTCACAGTTCATGGGTTCGAGCCCCCCATTGGCCTCTGTGCTGACAGCTCAGAGCCTGGAGCCTGCTTCGGATTCTGTGTCTCCCTCTCTCTCTGCCCCTCCCTGCCTCAAGCTCCGTCTCCTTCTGTCTCAAAAATAAACATTTTATAAAAATTTTTAAAAAGGTGCTACAAAAATCCTTTGCAGGTTTCTGTATAAACCTAAGTTTTAACTCCTTTGGATAAATACCAAGAAGCATGATTACTGGACTGAATGGTAAGAGTATGTTTAGTTTTTTAAGAAACTACCAAACTGTCTTCCAAAGTAATTGTATAATTTTGCATTCCTACCAACAATGAATGAGAGTTCCTGTTGTACCACATCCTTGCCAGTATTTGGTGTTGTCAATGTTCTGGATTTTGGTCATTCTAATAGGTATGTAGTGATATCTCATCATTTTAATTTGCATTTCCCTGATGACATATGATGTGGAGCATTTCTTCATGTGCTTATTTGCCATCTTAAGTCTTCTTTGGTGAGGTGTCTGTTAAAGTCTTTGGCTCTTTTATTTTTATTGTCGAATTATAAGAGTTCTTTGTATATTTTGGGGGTGCCAGAGTGGCTCAGTGGGTTAAGCGTCTGAATCTCAATTTTGGCTCAGGTCATGATCTCATGGTTCATGAGCTCAGGCTCTGCCATCAGTGCTGTCAGCACAGAGCCTGCTTGGGATTCTCTCTCTTCCTTTCTCTCTGCCCTTCCTCCACTTGTTCCCTTTCTCCCTCAAAAAAAAAAAAAAAAGTTTTTTATATATTGTGAAGAACAGTCCTTTAACCAGTGTGTCTTTTGCAATTATTTTCTCCCCATCTGTGGCCTGTCTTCTCATTCTCTTGAGGGTTGAATATTTTTTATGACTCCATTGTATCTCGTTTTTTGGATCAAAGGCTGTAATTCCTTGTTGTATTATTTTGATGGTTCCTTTCATCTTCAACTTACCAGTCTACCTTCAAGTAATATACCATTCCACGCACAGTATGTCCTTATAACAGTGTATTTCCATCTCTCTCCTCCTGGTTTTTGTGCTGCTGTTATTATACATTTTACTTCACCATAAACCTCACAATATATTATTGCTATTTTTGCCTTAAAAAGTTAATTATGTTTTAAAGTAATTATGGGGTTTTTTGTTGTTGTTGTTTTGTTTTTTTTTTTAGTAGTAAGAAAGTGGGCACCTGGGTGGCTCAGTCGGTTAAGCGTCTGACTTCGGCTCAGGTCATGATCTCACGGTTCGTGGGCTCAAGCCCCACGTCTGGCTCTGTGCTAACAGCCAGCTCAGAGCCTGGAGCCTGTTTCCAATTCTGTGTCTCCCTCTCCCTCTGACCCTCCCCTGCTCATGCTGTCTCTCTCTCTCTCAGAAATAAATAAAACATTAAAAAAAGTTTTATAAGTAGTAAGAAAACAGTCTTTATATTTTTCCATGTAGTTACCTTTTTCAGTACTGTTCCTTTGTGTAGATTTAGGTTTCCAGCTGGTATCACTTTTTCTCTGCTTGAAGGATTTCTTTTACAGTTCTCAACTGCTGATAATGAATTCTTTCAATTCTTCTATGTCATAAAGAGTCCTTTTTCAGCTTTTTTAAAAAGATATTTTTGTTGGGGGCACCTGGGTAGCTCAATCGGTTAAGTGTCTAACTCTCAATTTTGGCTTAGGTCATGATCTCACAGTTAGTGAGTTCGAGCCTGCTTGGGATTCTTTCTCTCCTTCTCTCTTTTTTTTTTTTTATGTTTTATTTATTTCTAGGAGAGGGAGAGACAGCATGAGCAGGGGAGGGTCAGAGAGAGAGAGAGAGAGACAGAATCTGAAGCAGGCTCCAGGCTCTGAGCTGGCAGTCAGCACAGAGCCCGACGCGGGGCTCGAACCCACGAACCGCGAGATCATGACCTAAGCGAAAGTCGGACGCTTAACCGACTAAGCCACCCAGGCACCCCTCTCTCCCTCTCTTTCTGCCCCTCCCTTGCTCATGCATGTGTGCACATATGCTCTCTCTCATTTGCTCTCTCAAAAAAAAAAATAAATAAATTTGGGGAAAAAAGGTGTCTTTGTTACGTAAAGAATGTTATGTTGAAGGTTTTTTTCTTCAGTACTATAAAGACGTTGCTCCATTTTCTTCTAGCTTACACTTTTTCTGATGAGAAATTTCCTGTAATTCTTATCTTTGTTTCCTTGCAAATAAGCTTTCCCCACCCTTGTTTGCTTTAAGATTTTCTCTTTACCACTGGCTTTAACCAATTTAATTCTGATGTGTCTTAGTGTAGTTTTCTTTATGTTCCATGGGCGTGGGGTTTCTTAAGACTCTTAGATCTGTTGGGTTTACAGAATCCATCATCAAATTTGGAAAATTTTCAGCCATTATTCCTTCAGATATATTTTCTGCCTCCGTTTTTTCTTTAGATGCCTCAATTACACATATATTAGGCTACTTTAAGTTGCCCCTCACAGGTTCTCGATGCTCTATTATTATCATTATTATCATTAATATTTTACATCTGTATTTCATTTCAGATAGTTTCTATTGCTATGTGCTTTTAAGTGTCTAATGTTCTATTCATACTATCCAGTGTAATTTCCACCTCAGAGACATCATAGTTTTCATCTTTACAGCTCATTTTTGGTCTTTTTATACCTTCCACGTCTCTGCTTAGTATGTTCAATCTTTCCTCTAGCTTCCTGAATATATGGAATACAGTTATGAAAATAACTCTTTTAATGTCTTTGTCTACTAATTTTATTTTCTGTGTCAGTTCTGGATCAGTTTTGATTAAATGATTGATTGATTATTTGACTGAGTTTTCTCTTCATTGTGGGTTGTATATTCCTGCTTCTTGGCATGCCTGTTAATTCTGTTTGGATGCAACTCACTGTGAATATTACCTTGGTGGGTGCTGGATATTTTTAATACTCCTGTAAATATTTTTGACCTTTGTACCATAATGCTATTGAATTACTTGGAAACAACTTAATCCCTTAAGGTCTTGATTCTGCTTTTAAGCTTTGTTAGGCAGGACCAGGGGAATGTTTATTAGGCAAAGTTTTAATTTTCCTCCATTCCCAAGGCAAGACTCTTCTTAGTATTCTACCGGATACTCCATAAATTATAAAGCTTTTCTCTCTGGTTAATGGAAATATGCACTATTCCTAGCCCTGTGTAAGCTCTGCATATTGTTCCCTCTTATCCATCTGCGTGGTTCTTTACCTGGATAGTTTCTTCACAAGAAAGAGCTGATTGGTACTATTCTGAATACTAGAGAGGGAACCCTGCCGATTCCCAGAATTCTCTCTGCAACTCTCTTTTCTGGTACTCTGCCCTGAATACTTTAGCTGTCTTGGCATCCTGGGATGCCAGCTTCATCTGTTCAGCTCAGGGAGACCACTAGGCTTTGCCTGGATTTCTTCTCCCTGTCCAATGGCCTCTGTACTTTCTCTAGGCAGTATGCTAGGGTAATCACAGGGCTCATATCATTTGTTTTCCATCTCTCAGGAATGACTATCCTATTCATTGATGCCCAGTGTCTTGAGAAACATTGTTTTATATGTTGTGTGTGGATTTCTGTTATTTCACACAGAAGAATAAATCTGGTTCCTATTGTTCCATCTTGGCCAGAAGCCACTATATAATATTACCCCTAATCTCCTTCATTTACTCATATTATACTTTAGCTCCAGAAGTCAATCCTACTGACTGGAGCCAAGAGAGCCAGAAAAGTGTGCTTTAGTTGGAACATCACTAGAAATTACCCAGAATCTGGAGATATATAAAATTTCCTAGGTTTGATTTCTTTTCACTCATTAGAGGAGTCTGTCACAAACCAAGATGCAGCCTTCTGACCTCCTTGAGGGTAGAGACACTAACTAATGCAATTCTTTACCTCCAGCATCCAGAAAGGTGAATAGATAAAAGTATGGTTTTGATTAGGCAAAACTAAACATAAATGCTCCATCATACCATCATTTAAGAGTAGCTATGTGCTCAGCACTTTACGTACATTATTTTATTCAAACCTCACAACAATCATTTTAAGTGTGCATCATTCCTATTTACTGATAAAGAAACTAAGGCTTAGAAAGATTAAATAACTTCCACAATATGACACAACTAGTTAGTGGCAGAATAGAATCTGAGCAACATCTAACCATGCTCTTGACCTCTGTGTAATACTATGTTCTATTAGTTTTCCTAAACCACAGACTTCTTTGCTGAAAGGCTAACCTCAGAATGTGCAATCTAAAGTGCTTGTACCTGGGGCGGGTGCCTGGGTGTCTCAGTCGGTTAAGTGTGTCTGACTTCATTCAGCTCAGGTCATGATCTTGTGGTTTGTGTGTCTGAGCCCCACACTGGGCTCTGTGCTGACAGCTCAGAGCTGGGAGCCTGCTTCAGAGTCTATGTCTCCCTTTCTCTCTGCCCAACCCGTTTGCACTCCATCTCTGTCTCTCAAAAATAAACAAACATTAAAAAAATTTAGGGGTACCTGGGTGACTCAGTCAGTTAAGTATCTGACTTCGGCTCAGGTCATGATCTCACGGTTCATGCGTTTGAGCCCCACATCAGGCTCTGTGCTGACAGCTCGGGGCTTGGACCTGCTTCGGATTCTATGTCTCCCTCTCTCTCTGCCCCTCCCCTGCTTGTGCTCTCTCTCTCAAAAATAAATAGACATTAAAAAAATAAAAAATGTAAAGTACTTGCACCTATCCACCCTGTATTCAGGGTCCCATTTATCAATATGGAAGATTTCAACCCAAGGACTGATTATTACTTTATACTTACCTGTTTCACCTCACGTGAGCAGTGGGGAAGAAATCGGTGCTGGACGATCTCATGAAATGATGTATGCAGTTTAGTCCCAAACTCTTGAGTGTCAGCTGCCTAAAATGGGCCAGAGATAGAACATGCTGAATTCCAGTACTGGCAACCAAAGGGAAGGTACCTACAGGACATGGGAAGAGGAGGAGACAAACTGGAAGGCAAACCATGTTTGTGTTAGGAGTTTCCTTAATTCCAATGAACACAGAAGTAGAGAGAAGGTCTGTGATACTTGGCATGAGACAGGTAGTTGTGGCTCCTATGTCTTCCAATTTCTGTTACCTAAGCAAGATCTTTCAAACAAGGCCTTTGTTCTCCCAGCTCTATAGGAGATACACATACCAGAGATCCATCTGTTCATAAAGGAGTTATAGAAATTGCTCTCCTCTAAAACAAGTCCCAAGAGAACATAGGTTCTGCTCTATTCAAATAAGTCTGAAATAAGAACTTTTCCTCAGATAAGTCTTTTAGAAAAAAAAGAAACAAGATAATAGTTAGCATCCATAAGGAATGGGTAATAACCTCTACTTTTTAGTACAGAATTGTAGGATATCAGAGTTAAAGGGGACAAGAGCAACCACCTACTACAACACACTAATTTTATAGAGGAGAACACTGATATCTAAAAAGGAGAAGTGACCCACCTAAGATCTCACAGCTAGTCAGTACAAAAGTTAGGGCTGACTAGGATTGTCAACGTAGTGTTCTTCTCATTACCCTGTGCTATACACATCACCCATAAAGTTGCAGCTGTAGGTTGCACTAGATTATAAAGATGTTATACTCTTAGACCTAGTAACTCCACTTACAGAAATTTATTCTAAGAAATAATTCAAAAGAAGCAAGATATCACATAGAGGTATTAACTGAAATACTATTTATATTGGCAAAAAGAATACAAGCAACCTAAAAGTCTATTATTAGCAGAATGGTTTATTAAATTAGATAAAACCAATGTAGTGGAATTGGGTAACTGACACAAATCTTAAGACAGTTGAAATGAGGAAATGTCAAATTATATACAAATATAGAATACGTTGGTTATAACTACACAATACAGCTTATATGAGATAATATGCAAAACTTTTACTTATAGTGATAAATATTATGTTATTATTTTAAAATTTGAATATATTATACTATTTTTTCAAGAAAAAAGTACAAAAAATAACAATAGACACAGAATGAATGTGTCACCCTACTGATAATACCAATTGGTCAGCACACAATTCTAAAAGGAAGGAAAGAAACTAACATTTATCCAGAACCTACCATATGCTAAGTATATTCACTTAGCCCTCATCCTCATAATAACCCTGTGAGGTACTATTCTTTTTTCCAATTTATAGATGAAGCTCAGAGAAGTTAAGTACAGGCCTAAGTCCACAGAGCCAGTAAGTAAATGAGCCTAGAATTGAACTTGGGCCTCTGATTTCAACTGTTACATTATTCCATACTGCCAAATATGTGATAATACTTAAGGCTACTCAGTTACTTCCAATGTTTTCTATCACCATGAAGTAACAAAAAGTCTTCAATAAGGAACTTGGAATCACTGATCCAGTCTTAGTTCTAACTGTAACTAGCTATGTGACCTAAAGTGAAAATTTTAAATAACCTATTTTCTCATTTATAAAACAGTACACACAATACCCATTCAACAAATGTTTTTTTAAAACACTTACCACAGGCCTGATACTATGTAGGATCACAAGAGGCTAAAATGAAATGTTTACAAAAGCTCTATGTATATTACTAAGAGAGCTGGTAGAATGTTGTTAAAAACCTGGAACTTTTAAGCAGCCCCAATCTACTAACTCGAAGAGCCTGGAAGCAGATCTTTCGGAAGCTACTGCTGGTGCTTCCAGTCACGATACTCATGATGGAATTCACTGCCACTGAGAGTGAGGCCTGCAATTTCTGATGATCCTAAGGAACATAAAAAGTAAGGAGAGACGGCAGTTTATAATAATCCCAAGCTGCTTATTCAGAGAATCACCAAGGAATTGAAGATTTCTGTAAGAGCAAGATTTCAACAATTCTCCTACCATCAATACCTACTGAGATCATGTCAAATAAAGGACATTGAGGGACTGAAACAATGTACTCCCCTTTTACAGAGATGATTACCGACACAGACACATTCAGAAAACATAACCAACCCATAAGACACTAGGCAATAAAAGAGATGCACATAGTCTTTGAAAACAAAAAGGCTTAAACTTTACTCTCTTTGTGTGGTTGTTTTTTTTCCCCTGAAAAGGGGGCTCTATGAAGTAAGAAATGTGTTACCACAAGTACACAGGATGGAGAAAATCAGAAAGTCAGATAAGAAGAGAAAGTGATATTATGAAGCATTAGGAAATGAAGAGAGAATGTAAGATTTAGTGAAGCAGTAGCTCCAGAAGTATGTGTGGGAAGGGAAGATAGATAAGGAACAGGTGCATTATCAGTCATTTTTCCCTATTATTTTGTCCCTATTTACTCAAATTCACCTACTGGTAGGTAACACTATGCAAGCTGATTACAATGACATATCCTGCTTCAGATTCTGTGTCTCCCTCTCTCTCTCTGCCCCTCCCCTGCTCATGTTCTGTGTCTCTCTCAAAAATAAATAAATGTTAAAAAATTTTTTTAAAGATTTCTTTTTTTTAATTTTTTTTATTTTTATTTTTTTAATTTTTTAATGTTTTTTTTATTTCTAGGAGAGAGAGACAGAGACAGCGTGAGCAGGAGAGGATCAGAGAGAGAGAGAGTCACAGACTCCGAAAAAGGCTGCAGGCTCCGAGCTGGCAGTCAGCACAGAGCCCGACGCGGGGCTCGAACCCACGAACCGCGAGATCATGACCTGAGCGAAAGTCAGACGCTTAACCGACTAAGCCACCCAGGCGCCCCAAAGATTTCTTTTTTTTTTAATGTTTGTTTATTTTTGAGAAAGAGAGAGGGCACGCAGCAAGGGAGGGGTAGAGTAAGAGCAAGAGAGAGAGAGGATCCAAAGAGGGCTCTGCGCTGAAAGCAGTGAGCCTGATGGGGTCTCAAACTCATGAACTGCGAGACCATGACCTAAGCCAAAGTTGGAAGCTCAACTGACTGAGCCACCCAGGTGCCCCTCTAGTTCTTTTTCTTAGAAAAATTAGGCAAAAAAGAGTTATGAATTTCTTATTACCTTGGCAGCCTGGTGATACTGTTCCAAGGCCTGGTCCACGGTGACCTGGATGGAATCTTGCACTACACTGTGGCTCTCCGTGAGGATGGCACTGAGATGAACAGTGAGCAAAGTGTGGGCTCCTAAGGAAAGTGAAAATGGCCCCTTTAAGACTGCTTGTTCATGTGCTATGAGTCAGGATTAGGTGTGAGAAAGAGGCTCTTAGAAGAAGAGGTCCCTTCTGCCTATCCACAAATAATTACTTTTTTAGCCAAAAAACAAAAACAAAACCCCAGCAACTTACAAACCCACCTAGTTCCACTTACAAATGAAAGAAAGCTTCAAAAACTAATGTGGAGGTTGACCTTATTTTTGAAGAAACAAGTGAGGGATCCTGTCTGATTCATACCAGAAACAGAAATATGTACCACATTACTATAGACAATGATACCTGTGACTCTGAAAGAACAGGAGGAAGAGGAAGAGGAAAAGCCTCCTGGAAAGTGTATCTACCCTACTTCACTCCTGTTTGAGCATCACTGGCGCGGTGAGCCACTGTTATTGTGAGGGTCTCAATCCTCTCAGATACGCTGTAGTAAAGAAGAAGTTAACACAAGGGTGACTCGGAGACTGCTGATAGAAGGTCTTTTTAAAAGGGGGTTATTTCTGGCAAAGTAACCATAGGCACCACTGCACAGCAGAACAGCTAACAGGTAGAGAGTAACGGGCAAAATATGTCATCCAACAAAAGGCTCGCATTGGTGACTCAGAGGCAACAGATACAGGAAGACAAATCCCTTCACACCTGAGGAAACCTTTCCTTTTCAGTATTTTTCTACTCTACCCTGAAAAGTCTATTCAAAGGCACTAAGGTGAAGCAGCCTACGGCTGGCTGGTTTTTCACAGGGCTGCATTAAAAATGCAAACCAGAAGGTACATTTTCTACCACAAGGCACAAGGATGCTTTCCCAGAAAGAAATGTACTATGTGGTCTGCTCAAAAGGGGTCCAAAATTGGAGTTAGGAAAACATAAATTCTAGAGTGAATTCTACCACTAACTAGTTGTGACCAAGTCATTTGACTCTTCTCACTTCAAAACTAAAATTGGGTTTATACCACCTGCTTTCACAGGCATGTTGTGCAGATAAACTGGGATAATATATATGAAGTGTTCTAAAATGTACACTGCAATATTTCAAAGGGAAAATATTGCTATGATGATATCATATGGATTACTGTTTTCTATAGTTTGGCGCTAATAATAGCCTCAAGAAATCAGTTAGACCCCTTTGAAAGCAGACATTTAATTAAAAAGCTACAAGTTTGTTCTCCTAAAACTGCTGATACCACCAGATGCCTTTAACGTTGTAGCAAAATAATGAGTTAATCATAGAAAAGTTACCATGACAAGGTGGGCAGGAGGCCAGTTAAGTGATTTTTTTAAGACACATGGAAACAGACTGTAGTTCTGCACAATCTGTTTCCTAAAAGTAGCTATATAGAAAGCTTTCAAGGATATAAGAATAAGGGAGAAAGAAAATAAAATTACTATATCTCTATCCTATATCTGTATATACCTACCTTCACAGTACATCTTTTTTCAAAGGCTAGTCCTAAACTACCAGATATGTAATGAAATTTAAAAAGAGACTTACTATGTTTACTAATGCAATGATGAGTTTCTATTTAATCCAATATTGAGTGTCACTACCTGAGATGTTGGAGGCCTTGAGAGTCAAGATAAGCAGAGATGTATAAATTATCACAATACTACAAGAATGATAGGAAACAATGGCTTTGAGGAAACTGAGTTCTTCAGGTATGTTCAATGGGATTCAGGACATGGTTTCAGACTTTATGTCATCCTAGAGAAAACTGAATATGGTACTCTCTGTATCAGATCTCAGATGAAAAAGGGGGGGGCACCTGGGTGGCTCAGTCAGTTGAGTGTCTGACTTCAGCTCAGGTCATGATCTTGTGGGGCTTGGGGGAGTTTGAGCCCCACATTGGGCTCCCTGCTGTCAGCCTGCTTCTGATCCTCTGTCCCCCTCTCTCTGCCCCTCCCCTGTCTCTCTCTCTCTCTCTCTCTCTCTCTCTCTCACACACACACACACAAAACTGAAAAAACAGTAACAAAAAAAATCCTGCGAGATGACAGTAGATCTTAAGTCTTCAGAGGGTCTTGAGACTTGGAAGGGCCTTTGTTAGCACCTAGTCTACCCATCTCATGTTAAATATATGAAAAGAGAGGATCAGATGATTTATGTGACTTGCTTCTGAAAAGCCACTGAGTGCCATTTGGTGGTAGAAGTAAAGTTATAACCAGCTCTCTAGGGGTACCTGGGTGGCTCAATTGATTAAGCATCCGATTCTTGATTTTGGCTCAGGTCATGATCTCACAGTTTGTGAGTTCGAGCCCCACACTGGGCTCTGCACTGACAGCACAGAGCCTGCTTGAGATTCTCTCTCTCCCTCTCTGCCCCTCCCCTGCTCACTCTCTCTCTCTCAAAAAATAAACAAACAAAAACACATACACAATAAAACCCACCAGCTCTCTTGCTTCTACTTTGAAGTCCTTTCCCCTATACTAAGCTGCTTCTCTTATTAGCCTCTGTCCATATGGTGTGGACCAGGTAACAACCCTATGCAACCCCACTTTGTCCTCACTGCTGGAAGCCCCCTTAGTTTGGGTCTCTTCTATGCTCCCATCCCAGGGCCTTAATAAACACAACCGTGAGGGCATCCGACAAAAACAGCTCCTGAAATAAAGAGTTGTAAGCCAGAGCCCAGGAGGACACTAGTACTTCTCTCCTCAACAATATATAGATAGTGGGGAAAGATAGGAGAGGCATGAAAGACAGGCAGCAGGAAGAATCCCACGACTGCCAATAGTTTATTCAAAAAATAGTTGGCACCAGTCAACATGAGGTCTTCTGATCTGGGGATGTAAGTTGTGTCATTTCTTTCATGACTCAGTGGGAGCAGGGCCACACCAAACAAGCACTGGAATGGCTTCAGAGTAGAGTCCCAAGAAAAAACACTGGCTCACATAGAAAAAATACAGAAACATACTGGGAGTACCAAAAGGGAGCCTTATGAACTTTTCCCCAGACATTTATAAGCTCCATTTCTTACTACTTCCCTCAAAGTTTAGGAGGGCATTGAGAAACACGTAAATTTATCCCTCAGGGTTTATTGGATTAAAACACATAAGCTAACTCCTGCTCATACTCAGTGTTTTTCAAACTTTACGATATTTAAAAATTACTTAAGAATATTGTTAAGAATGAAGATTCTTGAGCCATTCCATATTTTTATATTATAAGAAAACAATGAGTTGATTCTTGGCTCAGGAAGAAACACATTTTCAAATACTGCAGGTGATTCTGATGCATGTTTCATGGACCACCAAACAGACAGAAACTTTCTGATAACAGGTTATCACCAATTTGTTAGATAGACACTAAAGGCTCACCCTTGTATGCCTCAACAAGGACAATTTCTCCCTTTCCAGGTCTATGTGGCAATGACATAAAGCCATTCATATCAATACATTCCCCTACACCTTATGTTGTAGTTGAGATACTGTGTCAAGGCCAAGCAAGGCCAGTAACATTTCTTGATTCCACCTGGAAAAGCAATAATGTGGTGGACAGTTCTCAGGCCTGAGCTTCAAAAACATACTGGTATCAGATCCCTGCCTCAGTCCAAGGAAATCATAAGCCCTGGGGGTGACGTTTGGGCATTTTTAAGAGGCTCTCCAGGTAATATATTATGGAGCTAAGGTTGAGAACCACTCATCTAAGGTAATAGACTCTTTCAGAGAGCATTATAGGAAGTATCTGCTGATTCCTGGACATTCTGGGAATGTCATCATTTAAGTGATATTTTATTTTAAGATACATATCTTTTCCATACAGCATATAATTTGTTTAACCTATTTAACATTTTTTTATTACAATTAGTTATTCTACAGAAATATATGTAATTATATATGTAATTCAGATAAAATCTCTCTTTCTTTACTCTCTTAACATTTAAGCACACCCATACTGGCAGCCCCTATACCTACTCCAGAGTTCTGTTCGCTGGACTGGAAATCCGCTGTGGAAATCCACAAAGAGAAAAAGCAGCAGAGTTTGTCCCTGGGAGTCCATATTCTGAGACTGATTCCCCTCACTGGATTCCACCTGATAACTCACATCTGGAAGCACCAAATCTAGAGGACAAGATATTATACAGTATTCTAATATAAGTAAAGCCCTCAGAATGCTAAGTGAATAAAGAACCTATCCCTCAAACAAAGAAGGATCTAAGACAGATCTAAAGTCAAACACTCCCTTTTCCTCCTGAACCTGTTTCTCTATCCACATGATGGAAGCAAATATAGTGACTCATAGAAGGGACATCAAGATAACAATGATGTACAAAATGCAAACCAACTAGCACGCTGTAGAATTTACTGGGGAACATTAATACATTTATTCATTCCTTGTACAACTTTCTAAGGTAGGTATCACTAGTAAGAGGCAGAGGTCAGAGTCAAATCTGAGTAATGATAACAGTTAATTTGTATTAAGTGCTTACTACATACCATGTGTTGTGTTAAATTCTTCACATGAATTATCTAAACATTTAGACTTCACAGCAACACTAAGACATGGGACCTATTCTTAAGCCATTTTACAAATAAGAAGTACAAACAGGTTAAATACATGGCCCACCATAAGGCAGCAAGTGGTGGGTCTGTTTTAGACTGACTCCAAAATCTGTGTTCTTAACCACATCACTATATTATATCTGTATTCCCAAGTAATCTGATCCTGTCACTTTCTAGCACCTGGATCCTTTAAACACAATTACGATAGTCCTAAATTCCATCCAGACCCATCCAGAGAAATACCTTCATGTGGATCCTGGTTCTGTCCTTCAGAGTAATGAGGGAGGGAGATGAGAGGACATTTTCTACATTACTTATTTCCAAAGTTAATTAAGCAAGTTCAGGCATCAAGAATTAGACAAAAAAAAAAAAAAAAAAAAAAAAAAAAAAANAAATTAATAAAGCATGAAAATAAAAATGAAAGAGAAAAGGAGATATGGAGAGCCCTAAAGATTCAAAAATTATAAAGGCATGACATCCCGGGTTAAGACCAAGTATTCTTGGGGTGCCCGGGTGGCTTAATCGGTTAAGCATCCGACTTTCGCTCAGGTCATGATCTCGCGGTTCGTGGGTTCGAGCCCCGTGTCGGGCTCTGTGCTGACTGCCAGCTCAGAGCCTGGAGCCTGTTTCAGAGTCTGTCACTCCCTCTCTCTCTGACCCTCCCCTGCTCATGCTGTCTCTCTCTCTCCTAGAAATAAATAAAACATTAAAAAAAAAAAAAAAAAAAGACCAAGTATTCTTTCTTCACAAAGCCATTCACCTCCAGAGACCCTGTCCAACGACACACTCCTTTCATCCCACCCTCTGGAACAACTACCTACTCAAGAAAAAATCCTTACTCTGAAGCTTACTTGCTAGAGAAGATTCTATCATTCCCCAGAAATACTCTCTATTTCAGAAGGCTCATCTTCTCATACCATTCTAGCTCTAGAATACCTCTTCCCCACTGGTTACCTTCCTCAGGATCCAGGTGACTAGACTACCTTCTAAATTTCAAAGGATTCTAGCTACCAACAGCCAAGCTCAACATTGTAAAACTCCTAGATAGCACCTCATAGTTGCATATTCCTACTTCCCAGTTTTACTTTTTGGTCGTTATTAAGTGCCCAACTCTCCGTGTGAGTCACCCAAAGCTAATGCAGTCAGGCTCTACATGAACTCTATAGCCAGCTTTCTAGATTGATTATATATGGTTTGTACTCCTGCCTTGCATTTATATGGTAATCTTTTCTAAGTAATTTTATGTGCATTTTCTCATTTCATTAGGAAACATTTCTCTTCCACAATAGTTCAAAGAGGTTACTGATCCTTTACTAACCTTTCTAAAATCCCAGAGTTGACAGATTAAGGTACAAGAGAAACCCACTGCACAAGTCCTTAGAAGATGAAGGTTCAGTGACTACCTCAGGAGGACCAGGAAGAGAGGAGACAGTAAAGGAAGGGAAAGAAAAACCAGCATTAACGTGTAATACCAAAACAGGCTATAATGTGGCTTTGCCTCTTGACCTGTTTGCTGCACTTCACATGGATTCTCAAACTTAGCCAGACTGCCAACAGCACCACCCAACCTAAGCCATCAGATCACTGGGTCCTATTTTTTATGTACACCTGTTACTTATATTTCCTTGCATTTATCTAATATTCTTCAGGTTTCTTTATTCCTGCACAAAGAGAGGGAGATATACCTCTATCCAAACTGAGGTCCAAATTGGGCACCATACACAAGTGGTATTTCTTCCAGTCAATGAAGAAAGAGGTATCTCCGAAGACAGTAGTAGTTGGCTGCTCCTGACTTGGCAATATCAGAGGCAGGCCTGAAGGTCCATATAGAAATATGTATAGTTGCTAAGGAAAACTGCCAAATTTTAGGGTTTTTTTAATGACTATGTATTCCTTTGCATGAAACAAACATAACACTGACCTGGTTCACACTCTCAGAAATAAACTATGGTGCTAGCTGATTATATATGAAGCCTTTCCACATTGAATATAGGTGTGAGGCACCACACACAGATCTCCTAGAATCCCTAGAAATTTATTCTGGGTTTAATAAATGTGTGCTACAGGTATAGTATTAGACAATTAGTTTATTTATTCATCTTAGTCTGTCATAGGTTTGAGTAGTACTACAGGCTAAACACTGTACTAAATTCAACAGATACAAAGATGAATATTTAATTTGAATATTAAGATTTAATACTTACCTTAAAGTTATCATATTTTATAGTACTGGAGATACATATAAAAAACATAAACTGTAATACAATGTGATACATGCTACAAATATATATCTTTCAGTAAGTACTTGAGTATATTCAGACTAAGAAGGAAACTCCTTACCTTCTCTAACCAAGACAAAGCAGGGCAGGCCCCTGATAACAGTTTCCTTCTCTAGATTTCACTCCCCTTCTCACTCTCCTTTTAACCTAGGGTTTATCCACCTTAGCAGTATAGGCACTTTGGGCCAGATAATTCTTCATTTAGGGGCTGTCCTGTGCACTGTAGGATGTTTAGCAGTATCTCTGGCCTCTACCCACTAAATGGCAGTGGCACCCTCCCCCTGAGTCATGAGAGTTAAATGTCTCTGGACATTCCCAAATGTCCCCTGAGGGCAAAATTGTCCAGTTAAGAATACTTAACCTTTTTGTTCCCTGCACCAAGGCTAAAGAAACCAGAAATATATTTTCCTTTATCTTTTTTGTTTTCATCCTCTTTTTAATAGAGTAAACACGAGGCATTAAGTATGAATATTAAAATCCTCACCAGTAGGCACTGGGGTATTATGAAAAGTCACAACAGAACAAAGTGAGGCAGTGCCCATAAATGAAGTCTCTATCCCAAATACAAGAAGACATTAAAACAGGAGCTAAGGTCAACACATTCACTGTTTAATGTTTTTTTTTTTTTATTTCTAGCAGAGAGAGAGAGACAGCGTGAGCAGGGGAGGGTCAGAGAGAGAGGGAGTCACAGACTGAAACAGGCTCCAGGCTCTGAGCTGGCAGTCAGCACAGAGCCCGATGCGGGGCCCGAACCCACGAACCGCGAGATCATGACCTAAGCGAAAGTCGGACGCTTAACCGACTAAGCCACCCAGGCGCCCCACACATTCACTGTTTAGAGCCATGGTAGGTTTGAGGTGCTAAACTCGGTGAGTGGTGTGTCTAAAGAGTCAAACTTTGTAACTTTTGATCAGGTTGTTTAAACTATTTACATTTAATATAAATACTGCCATGGTTGGGTTTTACCACCTTGTTATGTGTTCAGCACTTGTTCCTTATGTTATTTCCTTGTCCCTCTGGTTTTTTCTTTTCCTTTTTCCTCTTTTCTATTTTTGGATTCTATTTTGGATGTGGTGCTTTTTTATTAGTCCATTTTATCGCTTAAAAATTTTTTAATGTTTAGTTTTGAAGGAGAGACAGAGTGTGAGTGGGAGGGGGGCAGAGGGAGAGGAAGTCACAGAATCTGAAGCAGGCTCCAGGCTCTGAGCTGTCAGCACAGAGCCTGGCACAGGGCTTGAACCCACAAACCGTGAGACCATGACCTGAGCTGAAGTCAGACACTTAACTGAGCCACCCAAGCACCACCCTACTTTTTTTGATTTTTTAGTTATAATTCTGTGTTGTCGCAACTTAGGGATTGCTTTAAGCTTTATAGTATACAACTTTAATTTATCACAGTCTACCTTTTAAGTGATAACAGTTCACATACATATAGTATAAGAATCTGCAATAATATACTTCCATTTCTCCTCTCCTGGCCTTTGTGCTACTGTCACACATTTTACTTTCAGGTATGTTATAAAATCTTATATGCTGATGGCACTTTTTGCTTTCAAAAGTCAATTATTGGGGCACCTCGGTGGCTCAGTCGGTTAAGCGTCCAACTTCGGCTCAGGTCATGATCTCGTGGTTTGTGGGTTTGAGCTCCGCGTTGGGCTCTGTGCTGACAGCTCAGAGCCTGGGGCCTGCTTCAGATTCTGTATCTTCCTTTCTCTCTGAACCTTCCCTGCTCTCTCTCTCTCTCTCAGAAATAAATAAAACATTAAAAAAATTTTTAAGTCAATTATTTAAAAATTTTTTAATTATTTATTTTGAGACAGAGTATGTGTACATGCATATGCAAACAGGGAAGGAGCAGAGAGAGGAAGAGAACCCCAAGTAGGCTCTGTGCTGATAGCATGGGGCATGGGGCTCCATGTCACAAACCATGAGATCATGACTTGAGCTGATATCAAGAGTTGGGCACTTAACAGACTGGGCCACCCAGGCGCCCATAAAGTCAATTATCTTTAAGGTTTTAAATTTTTTTTAAATGTTTATTTATTTTGGAAGGCAGAGAGATAGAGTGCAAGCAGGGGAGGGGCCGAGAGAGAGGGAGACACAGAATCTGACAGGTTCCAGGCTCTGAGCTGTCAGCACAAAGTTCGATGTAGGGCGTGAACCCATGAAGCACAGGATCATGACCTGGGCCAAAGTCAGACTCTAATTGGGTATACCCTCCCAGTGAACTTGTCTCGGTAGTACAGGGTTTATTTGTTTCTCCTCTCTCTAGAATCACTGTCCTGTACTATCTATTGTTTAATATAATTTATCCATTTTTTAAATTGTTAAAGATAGGAGGCTGGATCCAGTCCCTGTTATTTGTTCATGGCTGCAAGTGGAATTTCTGAAAACCTCTGACATAATGTCATGGCCTTTGATAGCTTCTTTGCTTTCTGGATCAACAAGATACCCGTGCTCATCTTGCACATTTCTACTTTAGGCCTGGAATCAGCCATTCCTCCTTTTTAGCGAGTGATGACATTTAGAGGTCACATTCTGGATACTAGGAGTGCTCACTGCTCCTCAGTTTGTTAGTTTGTTTGTTTTTAGCAGATAGAGCTAAGAAATATGTAATTTCAAAAGTCAGAAAAGTTGGAGGTACACATTGGTATTTTCAATTCCACTTTCAGGTTATTTTCAGGGGCACCTGGGTGACTCAGCTGGTTATGCATCCGACTCTTGGTTTTGGCTCAGGTCATGATCTCACGTTTCATGAGTTCAATCCCTGAGCTGGCCTCTGCACTGACAGCATGGAGCCTGCTTGGGATTCTCTCTCTCTCTCTCTCTCTCTCTCTCTCCCTTTGCCTCTCCCCTGCTCATGCTCTCTCTCTCTCTCAAAATAAATAAATGCATTTTTTTAAAAAATATTACTTTCAAAAAATTTATTTCAAAATAAAAATATTCTTTTAATTTATACTCCTACATCTGCTATATTATGCTAAAAATTTTGGTTCCTAACAATTTAACATAATTACTTGTTTTATAATAAGTATGCATGCGAGAATTTCAATATAATAATATCAATGTTATTACCAAGAATCAAGACCAGTAAATGAATTTCAAGAGTTCTTTTCAGTTCATTTCATCCTTAGAGTATATCCCACCAAGAATGTATGTCAAAACACTATGTTCTAAAGTCAGTTGAATTAGTTCTTCTTACTATATGATATGAATTAGGACCTTAATATCTATGGGTAGGTTATCTTTTAAGTTTATTTATTTTAGTAAAGCACACGTGTGCACATGGGGAGGGGCAGAGAAAGAAAGAGAAAGAGAATCCAAGCAGGCTCTGCACTGTCAGCACAAAGCCCAGCGCTGGGCTTGAACTCATGAATTGTAAGATCATGACATGAGCTGAAACGAAGAGTCAGACGTTAACCAATGGAGCCACCCAGGTGCCCCAACATTATCTTTTATCTTGAGAAATATTTTTACTGGGTATGGAATTCTAGGTTGGTAATTTTTAAATTTCAGGACATTAACACTGTTATACTACTACCTCATGTTGGTATAGGGAAGTCAGCTGTCAATTTGTTTCTCTTTTGAAGAAAATCTATCTTCCTTAACTGATTTTTCTCCTTGTTTTTGATTTTCTAAAGGTATGCATATCTTTTTGTTTATCTTGTTTGATTGTTGAGCTCTGAAACTGTTTTAGTTGTTTCAGCCATTGATTCTTTAAAGACTGTTTTTGCTCCATATTTTCCCTTCTCCTTTGGGACACGAATTAAATGTACATTAAATGGTCTGTTTCCTCTCACTGTTAACCTCTCTTCTGTATTTTCTATCCTTTTGTCTTTCTTTGCTTTATTTTACTAGTTTTTGCTATCCTTATCTTTTACTTTACAAATTCACTTATGCTGTCTAATCTGCTGTTAAATCTGCCTATTTAATTTTAATATTGGTTATTGTATTTTTGGGCTCTACAATTTCTGTGTGATTGTTTTAAAAATTATGTCACATTTTATTGTTTCAATTCCCTGACAAAATTTTAAGCTTGGCTTTCAATTTCATAAATATAATAAGCAAAATTCTTCTTGCCTTGTCCACTCTTGTGTGTGTGTGTGTGTGAGAGAGAGAGAGAGTGAGAGAGAGAGAGAGAGAGAGAGAGAAAGAGAGAGAAGGACGCCTGGGTGGCTTAGTCGGTTAAGCGTCCGACTTTCGCTTAGGTCATGATCTCGCGGTTCGTGGGTTTGAGCCCCTCGTCTGGCTCTGTGCTGACTGCCTGCTTAGAGCCTGGAGCCTGTTTCATAGTCTGTCACTCCCTCTCTCTCTGACCCTCCCCTGCTCACGCTGTCTCTCTCTCTCTCCTAGAAATAAATAAAACATAAAAAAAATAAAATAAAAAAAAAAAAGTAAAGAGAAAGAGAGAAAGAGGGAAGGAGGGAGGGAGGGAGGGAGGATGGGAGGGTGGGAGGGAAGAAGAGAGAAATGTGCACACGACCTGGACATTTTGAGAAAGTATTTGTTAAATAATTTGAAGCACAGATGTAGTCATCTTCCTCTAGAATTTTTTTTACTTCTAAAAGACAGCTAGGAGAATTAGAAATCTAGGATCACCTTAATCCAATTTTAAAGTTTAAGATTTTCTAGCCTCCCCAGATGACCCAAAAAAATATGTGCAGTTCATGTGAAGGATGGTTTATTTCAGGTTCATCTTACTCCTTAAAATGTAACCTTTTAGTTATCCCTGCCCAAAACAAGAGGTGTTTTTAACAGTACTCCCCCCACCCCCCACCCCCGCCCCGCCCCAGCTCAGCAGGCCTTAAACTCTTTGGCCTTCTTGACCTACATTGATTTAGCAGTGCAACTTAGCCTCTCAGCTGCTTGGTATAATTTGCAAATAACCTCACAGCAAAAGCAGTCCCCAATGCTGGGCTCAGGCTTTCTGTAATTCCTGTTTCTCCTACAATTGCCCAGAAATTCCTCCCTATTCACTAGCTCTTAGAATCTTTTATGTCTTAATATTTAATCTAACATTTGTTTTCAATGGGAGGGTTGGTCTAAATTACCTACCTTGCCATTTTCAGAAACTGAAATCCTACCAGAGTTTACCTTCACTAAAACATCACCTCCCTAGAGTCTTCACCTACTATAATATTTAAAATAACTTTCCTGTCACTATCCCTTTACCTGCTTTATTTTAGCTTTACTGTACTTATCACTACCTGACAACTATTTATTAAAATGTCCTACTAGGGGCGCCTGGGTGGCTTAGTCGGTTAAGCATCCGACTTTCGCTTAGGTCATGATCTCGCGGTTCATGGGTTCGAGCCCCACGTCGGGCTCTGTGCTGACTGCCAGCTCAGAGCCTGGAGCCTGTTTCAGAGTCTGTCACTCCCTCTCTCTCTGACCCTCCCCTGCTCACATTCTCTCTCTCTCTCCTAGAAATAAATAAAACATTAAAAAAAAAGTCCTACTAAATGTAAATTTCAAGAGGATAGAAAAATTTGCCTTTTTCCCTCTGAAGAATGGGATGAGGAGGAGGAGAAACTTCTTTATTTTACTTTATACTCTTCTATATGACCTAGATATTAAGAAAAAGCATGTTTTCAAATCTGAAAGTCCATGCATAGTTTTTATAATCATCCTGCTCCTTCCTCCTCCCTAAAGATATTTTCAGCTGACATTTATCATACCATGACCTTGGCCTTCTTCTGTTACTCTTTATACTCTAACTTCATGTACTCACATAGCTTCAATTATATAACAATAACACCTAACATTTACTGAACACTTTTATGTGTCAGCCAACATGCTAGGAGCTTCATATAGATTATTATAGGGGCGCCTGGGTGGCTCAGTCAGTTAAGCGTCCGACTTCGGCTCAGGTCATGATCTCCTGGTTAGTGGGTTCAAGCCCCGCGTTGGGCTCTGTGCTGACAGCTAGCTCAGAGCCTGGAGCCTGTCTTCAGATTCTGTAACTCCCTCTCTCTGACCCTCTCCTGCTCACACTGTCTCTCACTCTCTCTCTCAAAACTATATTAAAAACTTAAAAAAAATTTAAAAAACCATACAGGTTATTATATATAATTAACCCTAAAACAAACCAACCCCAAAAGAACAACAACAAAATCTTTACAAGGGAAAATAAATAAATCTATGAAGTGTTATCATACCCATTTATTTTTTAATTTAATTTTTTAATGTTTATTTATTTTTGAGAGGGAAAGAGAGGCAGAACATGAGCAGGAGAGGGGCATAGAGAAAGGGAGACACAGAATCTGAAGCGGGCTCCAGCCTCTGAGCTATCAGCCCAAAGCCTGATGCAGGGCTCAAACCCACAAACTGTGAGATCATGACCTGAGCTGAAATTGGATGCTTAACTGTCTGAGCCACCCAGGTGCCCCAATTGTTTTTTTTTTTTTTTTTTTTTAATTTTAGAAAGCATGCATGAGTAGGGGAGAAGGGTAGAGGAAGAGAAAGAGAGACTCTTAAGCAGGCTCTACATTCAGCATGGAGCCCAGTGTGGGGCTGGATCCCACGACCCTGGGATCATGACCTGAGCTGAAATCAGGAGTTGGCTGCTCAACCAACTGAGCCACCCAGGAACCCCTATTATCTCAATTTTAAAGCAGAGGAAATAAAGGCCTAGGTTGGTTTAGTAAACTGCATGAAGTCATAGCCAATTAGTGGTGAATCCAGCATTTACAGTGTTCTGCCATGCTCTAACCACAGAACTATACTATACATCCCCATGGAGAAAATGCTAAGGCTCTAAAATTTATCTCTAAATCTAACCACTTCCAAATTCCAGACCAAAATTTCTAAATAGCTACTTGCCATTTTCAAGGGATATCCTGCAGGAACTATAAACTTAGCATGTTTAAAGCTAAGCTAATCTTTACCTTCCAACTCTGCTACTTATGATTTGCATCTTATTGACAGTATCATTATTCTGTCAGTCATCCAATCATCTATGGAAATGTTTTTCTTTCCTTTTCTTTCTTTTTTTTTGGAGGGGGAGAGAAAGAGAGAGATGGCGCAAGTGATCAAGGGACATATAGAGAGAGAATCCCAGGAGAGGCAGAGAGAGAAAGGGGGTGTGAGAGAGAGACATAAGCGGGGTTGACCCAAAGTGGGGCTCGTGTTTACCCAGGGCCCAGGCTCACCCAATGTGGGGCTCAAACTCATGAACCGTGAGATCAGACCTAAGCCCAAGTCAGATGCTTAACAACTGAACCACCCAGGTGCCCTATGGAAATGTTCTTAAACAGCTTATTGAAATCTAAACATATCACACAGCATACAACTCACCCACTTAAAATGTACAGTCAGATAGGTTGTAGTATATTCAAAGAGTTGTGCAACCATCACCACCATCAATTTTAGGACATTCTTACCATCCCCCCCACCCCCCAAATCCCTGTCTTTCTACTTATTGTCTCTATAGATTTGCCTATTCTGGATATAGAATCAATCTTAACATCAATTTTGGCCATTTCCTGCCCCTAATCTCTCCCTACCCCCACAATGAATTGCTTGCCTCATTCCTTCAAGTGATAAGTCTCTCTTTTCCATGCTCATCATACTTTTAATTCAGGCAAGCATTACCTCTTGCCCAGTTCACTTACTTATTCACTTAGTAATTACTGACTTCTCTCTTCTACCCATGCTGTATAATGCTGCTTGAGACGCCTGAAACATTCAATGGTTTCCCACTACACAAAGAATGAAGTTCACACTCCTAAATGTGACACAAAAGAGCCACCATATCCAACTCTAGCTACTTTTCCAGCCTCATCTCTCCTGCCTGCACCATTCATTCCATGCTTCAGTCATAGGATTATATAAAAAGAATATGGCACATATGTCACATTTTATAGTTTTCCGTATTTTGGGAAAAATTCTCAAGACTGGTTTCACACTGGATTTTTGTTTTTATACAAATTATACTGGCTTCTAGACACAGAGTTTATACGCTAAAGGCTTTTCTAGAATTGGCATATAAAAATTCATTTTTCAAAACAAAGTTGAAAATTTTGATGGAGTCTGTCATTAGAAGGATATGGAAACTGAAGAAATGCTATTCAGCTGGTTGGAAAAGACCTTTGGGCAGGGACACAGAGCAGCAGCTGGAGTCAGTATCAGTTCTCCCAACAAGCCCATGCCAGCCACGTCATCAGGGATGAAAAGCATTACTGGATGTCCTAGCACAGGATGAATTCGGGTGCAGAGTACTTCAGCTGCACCAAATTTTGGTTTACTGTCAAAAAACAGGTAAGATATATTTAGCTTTTTTCTTTCTTAAGAAGTTATTTTCTTTATTTTTATTTTTTTTCCTTTCCTTTTTTTTTTTTAAGTAGGCTCCATGATGGCATGCCTGGCTGGCTCAGTGGAATATGTGACTCTTGATCCCAAGGTTGTGAGTTTGGGCCCCACACAGGGTGTAGAGCTTACTTAAAATAAAATCTTTAAACATAAATAAAATAGGCCCCACACCCAATGTGGGACTTGACTCCAGGACCCTGAGATCAAGAGTCACATGCTCTACTGGCTGAGCCAGCCAGGTGCCACTTAAGAAATTATTTTAGGGGCATTCAAAATTCTTTGGATATCTCTAGCATATGCATAATTCAATAATCCACCATGTCAGTTTTACTGGAATAAGTAACTTGGGTCTCACTCAAGAAATCAGAAGCGATAGAAAGAGCAGACAAATTGGCATTTCAGGAATAATATCATGGCTCCTGCTTCGCTGCCACTATGCAGGTAAAAATTTTTTTTAATGTTATTTATTTTTGAGAGAGAGAGAGAGAGAGAGAGAGAGAATGAGCAGGTGAGGGGCCAGAGAGAGAGGGAGACACAGAATCCGAAGCAGGCTCCAGGCTCTGAGCTGTCAGCACAAAACACAACATGGAGCTTGAACCCACTAACCATGAGATCATGATCTGAGCCGAAGTCGGACGCTTAACCAACTGAGCCACTCAGGCGACCCTGCCACTATACAGTTTTATATTCTCTAAAGTGTATTTCCTCCACTAAAATTACTCCATAGTTCTGAGCAGAAGTTTCCAAAATCAAAGATTAGCATGATGGGGGTAGGGGTGAAGGAGTCCCTGAATCACAACAGCCTAAAACTAGCCTTCTGATACTTAAATCTGCTCTCACACATGCTACACCTTCCCCTGAAGGAGTCTGAGGTTACTGTTTGATAGGAGTAATCAAAAAAATTAGGTCATCTTACTCTCCCAAAAGAATCTAGTGAAATTTGATATTTGCTTACTTTCTCACAGCTCTTTTTTAAATAGGAAAAAATACTAATGAACATTTTTCCTCTTTCTTTAAACTGATCAGGTCATCCAAGAATATATGTCCACAAACACTGGTTCAGAGGCTTAAACTTTTTCAGTAAATCTATGATAATGAGCTGTCTAACTGTAAGGACTGTATGACAGTAGAGGACTACTAAAGATAGATAAAGGGTGGGGACTTTGTTTACTGCACATATTAAAGAATAAAAAAATTCTAATCTGAAGTGTGATTTCAGCTAAGAGTAAAAAATCAGACTAAAAAGCCATGAGCAGTCTCTTCAAACCTTAAGATCCTATAACTATGAGTGCTGATTCAGGCTACACAAATTGAGTCAAAAACTATTCAATAAAGAATAAGTTAGTTGGACTTAATCATAAATTGTTTTTTTCTTGCTATAAGGCACGTTCACTTTGGATTCTCTGGTATGTAGATAGCATAGGAAGGCAAGGCAGAGGGTTCTATTCCATTTATTTGCCATCTTCTCGATAGAATTTTTTGTAGTCTGAAGGAGGTGGAGGTGGAGAAAGGACTTCCAAACCTATGCAAAATGCTGATGCACAAAAAATAATATACAAAGAATTCCTCTGTATTCATAATATCTTTCTAGCCAAAAGTTCAAGTAACCTTCTAAAGTCCTTCCTCTCTTCTCACATGTAAATAAGATTGAAATTTGTTTCATTTATAGAAAAAATTAAGACATGGAAAAGAGAAGGGACATGTCCTCGGGTCAATTAGAATATATTCAAGGAGCCAGAAAAAATGAGAGTTTTCAATACAAATAGCTTAAAATTTTTACTTCCACTTTTCTTACAGAGAATCCAATACCTGGCACTAAGAAATGACAAATGAGACTCTGTTCAATTTCTACCACATTCATGCTCCTAACAGGAGAGTAAAACATGGAGAGGGACAACAATGCTTTTACCCTTCACCTCACATAATGCTGATAGTTTATAACAAGAGCAATTCCATTCGACAGGTTCAAAGTGGGTTCATTCTTTGTCCTGGAAAGCAAAGCAAAGCTAAGGCATATTTCAGAGATTCTAAAACCGATCTTTACCCAATACAAATTTTGGCCCATGACCACCACCACCCACAGAGATTACTGGAATTCAATAACCAGTTAATCAAGAGGAAAATGGTAATTTTTAAGATCACCCGCTCTAGTGAGAGGGAAAGGCATGAAAGGTTTGGATGAATCTACTTACTCATTTAAAGTTAACATAGAATAAGGAAATGTGGGGGGAATCTCAGAAAATTAGTTTCAAGGTAACTTTGGGTCAAGAAGTCAAACTGTGAAGCTACTAGAAACAGGGAAATAATGACTGAGAAAAACTATAAAACCATGGCATAAACTTAAGCCATTGATTTAAGGACTTACCCAAAGATTTCCAAGGAAAGGATCCCATTCACCTTTACACTGAAATTAAATCTAATCTGCAAGGTAAATAGGGTGTGAGATTTAATATGAACTAGGATGGAGATTAAAAAACTTCCATACTTAATTCCCAAAGGGGAAGATATTCTTTATATCACTTTTTTTTTCACTTGTACTTTCCCAAACAACACAATTAACATTTGCCTGTACTCAAATTCTGCATCTACAATTTATATTGAGTCCTACACTTCAATTCCAAGTGGTCACAGATTATCAGAATATCTTACCTTTTGTTCTCTGTTCTCCCAATGTTGTATCTTCTCCCCCTTAAAGGAACTATTGATTTTTCTCTCCATTCTTTCCATTGTTTTCATACATAGAACATTCCACGCTTTTTCTTTTCATTTTCCTTCCTTGCCCCCATCTGACTTTTATGTCCTCCCTCCAATTCACTTCACTGTCCTAATTATTTTCTACCTTTGATTTACATTTTTCTTTCTATGTAACAGGGGACTCTAGAGCCAGAATGCCTGACTTCAAATCCTGGCTCTGCAAGTTATTTAACCTCTATACCATAGCTTCCTCAGCTGTAAAATGGGAATAATGATGATAAAACCTACTTCACAAGAGCTGTTGAATGGGGTGAGTGAATAAGTGTGTGGAAAGGATTCAGAATCGTGACTGGCATGCAATATGCACTAAACCCTGCCAAAGACAGAAAAAGCAGAAAGCTTGCAAGAGAAAAAAAAAGGGGGGGAGAACTTATATAACATACTTAATGGTGTGTATCCCTATAAACATATCTAACTACAGCTAATAATAAAATTATAGCTCTCCAAAGTTTGAAGTACTTTGTTAAAATTTCCTGATTTGCTCTTATAGTCACTTTGGAAAAGGAGATAATCAGCAAGTTTTATTGTCCAGGTTTAATAGAAAAATGAAGCACAGAGGAGGCAAAAAAAGTATCTAAACTGATACAATAAGACAATATGGAAGTAAAAATAACAACCCAAAGAAAGCTCTATATCCAAGAGCTCTCAACTATGTCACATGACCAATACCAACACTGTGTTAGGGACACAGAAATCACATCAATTCTATATTAAAATTGTAATTATTGTCATTAGAAGAAACAGGATCAGGGGCGCCTGGATGGCTCAGTCAGTTAAGTGTCCAGCTTCGGCTCGGGTCTTGATCTCACAGTTCGTGGGTTCGAGCCCTGTGTCGGGCTCTGTGCTAACAGCTAGCTCTGAGCCTAGAGTCTGCTCTGAATTCTTTGTCTCCCTCTCTCTCTCTGACCCCCTCTGCTCACTCTACCTCTCTCTCTCAGAAATAAATTTTTAAAAATTTTAAAAAAGAAAGAAACAGGATCAATTATATCCTTCCATGTCCTACATAGTAGAGGTATCTTGAAAACATGTGATTTAAAAGAATCATTACTGGGGCACGTGAGCGGCTCAGTAGGTTGATCATACAACTTTGGCCCAGGTCATGATCTCACAGTTTATGAGTTTGAGCACTGCATCAGACACATTCTGTGTCTCCATCTCTCTCTGGACCTCCCCTCCTCTCTCTCTCAAAAAAAAAAAAAAAAAGGCATTAAAATAAATAAATAAATAACCGGCTCATTATTATGCAAAAGAACAGCTTACCTTAGGGTGTACCATGATGATTTTACGTAAAAAGTTCTTTATCACCAAACTATCTGTCATCAAAGTTCTGGGCTTTTCATCAACCTGTAACAATACAACAAAAACTTCCATCACATACACAAACCCAGGAGCATAAATTAATTAAATTGTGATATTTCTTCCTATAAAGGTAACTTTCACCTTAGAAAGTTTTTCAGACATACAAGGGGAAACGTCTTTTGTTCTAAGAACTGGACACAAAAGGGAATCTAACAGCCATCATTCCTTGGGTTAAATGTAACTTTAGGATACATGCGAACAAAGATCACACTAACACCCACAATCTCAAAACAACTTTTTGGAACAAATTTAAAAGTAGTTCAAACCAGAGCTAAGAAGTGTTAACTCTTTCTTAGCTCTACCATCCCGATGTAAGAGTCAGTCTCTATTAAGAATGGAATGAAAGGTGCGCCTCAGTAGGTAAGCAGTTAGGCGTCCAACTTCAGCTCAGGTCATGATCTCACAGTTCATAGGTTTGAGCCCCGTGTTGGACTCTGTGCTGATGGCTAGCTCAAAGCCTGGAGACTGTCTTTGGATTCTGTGTCTCCCTCTCTGATCCTCCCCTGCTCACGCTGTCTCTCTCTCTCCTAGAAATAAATTTTTTAAAAAAATTAAATAAAAAAAATTTAAAAATTACGTATGTAATGAAAACAAAATCACTTAATTGCTCTGGACTTCATTTACTAATCCTCAAAACAGGGATAAAAGTTAATCATTCTCCCTCACAGAACTGTTTTAAAGATCAAATAATAATCTGAAAGTATGTATTATATATGGCAACAATCATAGATATCACTTGTTGAATGCCTACTATATAGCAAGCATTTTGCAGGTGCTGTATCTACATTACCTCACAACAATCCTGGAGGCAAGTATTACTATCTTCTCTGTAGGTTTTTTTAAACAAGGCTCAGAGAAGTTAAGCAACTTGCCTAGGTTACTCAGCTGTTCAGTGAGAGAGCCAGAATTTGACCTTAAGTCCGTCTAACATCAACTGTCCATGCTCTTTCCAACATACTCAGATACCTCCCTATGAATATAATAAAATTTACAATTTAATGAGGATTTTCTCTATTCCATGAATGAAGCAAAAGTATCTTACTCATATTAATTATCTCATTTACCTCTCATAAAAGCCCTACTAGGTACACATGACCCACATCTTGTGGATGAAAAAAATCAATCTCAAAGAGGTCAAACAACTTTCTTGAGGTTACCTGATCTGGCTTCAAAGCTTTAGTATTAACCACTATCCTATAATGATTCATTATATTTAATACAATGTCCCCAAAACTAAAGTTAGAAGGAGTCTTCTACAAAATGGAGAAGTCTAGGAAAATGAGACGAAGAAATAGAGTAAAATATCAGTAAGTTCCTACTGGTGGCTCAGAAAATACAGAGCCATGTAGTAGGCACATATTAAGAAAAAAATGGTCCCAGACCTCAAAATATCATAATGCAAGGAGGAAGAAACAGAAAGAAGAATAAGTTATTGTAATACTTTTTATAACTACACTGGAAATGAGATCACGAATTGTACGATGAGTGGGAAATTAGATTATTACAGAATCATTAGAAAAAATTATCAGAAAAATGGATGGGAATTATTAGAAAATTTTGGGTACAGATCTAGGATTATTCATACACATAAACAGTGGTAATTAAATAATAACTGAAGCATATACATCACAGTTATATCCTTCATTTAAAAAATTTTATCATAAAATGTTCAAATAGAAAAGCAACGATCTCTTCAAAGCATTTTCTGTACTTAGCACTTCCAAAACAACTTCTTGGAACAATTTCAAACTTCTGTAGCCTTGGTTATTATAGGGTACATCATAGAAAGGGCTAATTATATCTAGCAGTAAGGCAACCAAGTAAGTGTAAATTCCTTCAGCAGCTACCAGAGAGGGGCTACAATTAATAATGATGAGAGGTACCATTTACTGAACACCTGCTACATACCAGTTTATATGCAAGTAGGAAATTCCCCCATTTTATTTATGAAAATAATGAGATTAAATAAGCTGTTTGATTTGTCCAAGGTCACACATGGCTAGTTAAGAACTGGGATTCAAACCTAGACATAACTTGTTTCAAAGCCTACATGCCACTATGCAATGCTATCTCTCCAAGAAAGTTCATTTTCTGTACATATAGCTTCCTGAATGGGATATTATGTTATCTATCATTACTTTTTTTAAAATTTGTTAATGGTTTTTATTTATTTCTGAGAGAGGGAGAGAGACAGCATGAGCAGGGGAGGGTCAGGGAGAGGGAGACACAGAATCTGAAGCAGGCTCCAGGCTCTGAGCTAGCTGTCAGCACAGAGCCCGACATGGGGCTCGAACCCACGAACCGTGAGATCATGACCTGAGCTGAAGTTGGGACGCCCAACCGACTGAGCCACCCAGGCACCCCTATTTATCATTACTTTTATGGACCCTGATAGGCAATGCTTATGCAAACTCCTGAATTATCCACTCAAAACACTTAATAGAGCTTATTATTTACCTGGAGCTACAGAGGTAAATAAAACAATCTATGAATTTGAAGAGTTCAGTTAAGTAGAAGGGAAAGACAAATAATTTAAATGACAATATGAAAGTTTTATAATTTAGTTATATAAGAGATGCTAAAGAAATACACGAGACTGGCACCTAAGTCAGAATAAGAAGATAAAGTGCCCTAATGTCATATCAGCAGAGAATAGTTAACATAAAGCAAATGCCTCCTTTTAAGATCTACTCATAAATTACTGAGAGAAAGAGAGAGAGAATATATGTATGTGTGTACATCTACAAAGTCTTTTACAGCCTTTTACAATTGGGTGTTAGAAACCCAGTACCCCAGCATGGCATACCTATAGAAGCAGTGAATTTACTTAAGTGTTGTTAGGAAAAACTAGAACCTGCCACCTCTTGGCAGCAAAAACCACTACTGAATCATATGTTCCAGCATTCACCTTTAAATACAAATCTAATTACATCACAGAATATCAGAGCTGTTTTATATTTTCAAACTGAACTTATGTAGTCACAGGCCCTATATGACTGTTTAGAAGAAAGTCAGTCAGTGCCTCTGTCTCTTCCTGTCTCTAAATAGAACAACAGAGATAGATAAATATAAGTAGGAAGATGTGCTTATAGGTATATATGTGTATCTCTACCAATTTTCTCATTTTTAGTATAATAGCAAAACTAAATATAAAAATGGATAAAGCTTTGAAGAAGATCTTGTAAAATCAAATTGTTTTTGGAAGTACATCTTACCAGCCTAATTGACTCCAAGATGCAAGATACAAGACTGACTCTGATGTGGCACCTGGCTGGCTCAGTTGGTTAAGTGCTCAACTTCGGCTCAGATCATGATCTCACGGTCCGTGGGTTCGAGCCCCACATTGGACTCTGTGCTGACAGCTCAGAGCCTGGAGCTGCTTTGGATTCTGTGTCTCCCTCTCTCTCTGCCCCTCCTCCACTCGCTCTCTGTCTCTCAAAATAAAATAAAGACATAAAAAAAAAAACTAAAAAAAAAAAAAAAGACTGAATCTGAGCTTATGCATCTCTCCTAAATGAAGCTCTCTTTGTATTTCTTAGGATTAGCTCTCTTTACATGCCCAAAGCAATGGATCATTTATTATAGCTTTTCCACAGATGTCTCCTTTCACTAGCCTCTGCTATGAACCTTGCTATCTGACCCTTCTCCCCATTTGAGGTATATATAATTAGCTTGTTCACAATCTCCCCTTCTCACTTTCTTCATTCAAATATCTTTTAAATAGCTGCACAGTGCCAGAAACAATGAGATGTAATAGAACAAATGCTTTCAGGAAATCCTTGTTCCTCTGAGGTCATACTACTCTTCCCCACTCACCAGCTGACTGTAGGCACTAAGATCAGTTTCCCCCAGCACTTTAAAGACATGCTATCATCTGAGTTGACTTCCACATCCAAGTAGGGGGCCTGTCTAAGCAACAATTTAGACATAATTTCCTGACCTCTTCAACTTCAATGACCTTTACCTCCATGCATTTCCAGCCACCTATTTCCATGGCCATAGTTTGGAACGGTACCATTCTAAAAACCTGAAACTGAAATGCCTCACTCTTATGTGAAAAAGTGCACATCAAGATGTTAACAGTGGCTACCTTGATTAAGTCAAATTATCTGTGTTCTAGATGCTCTCTTCAATTTTACTGAGGGAAACACTGCTTTTGCAATAAGACAAATTTTATCAGTCTGAAGACAAATTCCTATTTTTTCAAGTCTCTGAACTCCCTATAGCCAGATAATCTGTTTTCAGTCTCATCAGGAGATGAGACTTGGCCACTTCCCATTGGGTTAGATATTCTTCCTTTATATATCCTACCTTTATCATAATACATATTACAGTGTATTGTAATTATCTGTTTTCTTGTTTGTCTTATCCTTTAGATTCCAAGTTCCTTAGAATCAAGTAACATGTCTTTGGTCGCTGTATCTTCAACATCTAGCAAAGTGAGGTCGACTTGTACAAACACAAGTTTCTCAATGAGTGAATAAATATTCAAACAGACCTGACATGAGTACAAGACTTTGGTTCAAATTCTAATCCTGTCACTTAACTTTCATATGACCCTGGAAAGCCAATCTAATTCTCTGAATCTCAATTTTCTTCTATCTGTAAATTGGGTGATACTCTCTGTTCTACCCACTTCACAGAGATGTCGGGAGGCTTAAATAATATATATAAATGTTAGGTATAAGAATTATCATTGTTTAGACTGGCTAAAACACATGATCTCCTTTATTACAACTGCTTTCCTTGGTTCACTGAAATCACCTTTTTTATTGCTACTTGACGTTAATAGTTTCAGACCTGACTAACCATTAATTGCTCCAGACTGTTTACTTTTCATTCTCCTAAAGAAGATAAGGCACAGCCAGGAATATCTATTGTCGTAATACTGCACCCATTTCCTTTGAGAAGGAGCATATCATTGTCCAAACATGAAGAAAGAACTCCCAAGTGCTTCTTGGGAGAATGTTTAAAGTATTCAAATTCTTTATGTCTCCACAAATTCAAAGGAAAGAAAGAACAGGGAATCAGAGAATTGTTAAAGGGAATGGAAAACTCAACTGTCACTCTCATAAATCTGGGTTACAAATAAATCAATAAATATCTTTAAGTCAACCTAATAAAAATGTATCTCAATAGGATCTACACTGGGAATCCATTTTTCTCTTCTCTTTAAGGAGATCTAAACTCAAATAATGGCTTAATTTCAGTGGTTCTCAAATTTACCTGCACATTAGGAATCACCTGGGAATTTTTTTCATCTGGGATTTCAAAAATATTTCAAAGCCCAGGCCACACCAGTGTGGACTAAATTGTGTCCCCCCAAATTCACACATTGAAGTCCTAGCCCTCCATGTGACTGTATCTGGAGACAGGACCTTAAGGACATAAATAAAGTTAAATGAGATCATAAACATGGAGCCCTAATCTGACAGGACAGGTGTCCTTATAAGAAGTGGTAGACATTAGCGAGCTTTCTCACCACATATACACAGAGGAACCATGTGAGGAAACAGTGACTAGGTACCTTAATCTTAAACTTCTAGACTCCAAAAGTCTGAGGAAATAATTTTCTGTTTTTTAACCACCCAATCCATAGTATTTTTTAAGGCAGCCTGAGCAAACTAATCCAATACCCTAGGCCAATTAAATCACAACCTCTTGGAGTGGGACATAAATAACAGTAGTTTAGAAGCTACCAGGTGTTTTAAAATCTGCACAGAGAAGTTTGGGAACCAATGCCTTAGTTCATTTCAACTTGGAACTGTGCTTTTCTTTCCTTTTTTTCTTTTTTTTTTAATAAGTAAGTTACATTTCTTTTTTTTTTTTTTTTTTAATGTTTTATTTCTGAGAAAGAAAGAGAGAGACAGCTTGAGAAGGGGAGGGTCAGAGAAAGAGGGAGATACAGAATCTGAAACAGGCTCCAGGCTCTGAGCTGGCTGTCAGCACAGAGCCCAACCTGGGGCTCAAACCCATGAACCGTGAGATCATGACCTGAGCCAAAGTTGGACGCTTAACCGACTGAGCCACCCAGGTGCCCCTGTGCTTTTCTTTCCTATTATTAGATTTGTAGAAAAATAAGAATCATGACGTCAGTAATTTATAGAACCGCAACAAAACCTGCCTCAAAAATCACCTGGAAGGGTATTACCCCTGATATGTCCTGAGAATAGCTGGCTTCTTCTGAAGTCCAATTCAGCTTTGCAGAGAATCCAGGCAGTAGAGATTGTATTTCTGTGTAAAAACAAATGACGACAAAAAAAAAAAAGGCAGTTTGGATAAGTACCAGAGTTTCTGGAATTGTTTATTAAACTGATGAGCCAAGAAGCCATTTCCCTGATGAAAAGATTATCTGCAAAATTTAAACTATGACTGGAAATGGCTATGCATCAGCAAATTGCTTGAACATTTAGAATTACTTTATGGGGTTAAGACATTTAATCTCATGTTTTCAATTTTTCACATTTGCTAAATCAATTTGTATTTTCAGTTAATTTCCACAAGGTCATGTCCAAAGCTACAAATCTTCAGAACTGATAGCTCTAGCTTATATTCTTGTATTTTTAATAAATTAATTCATTATTTGATAAGTACAAATCCAGTAAGTGAGTGAATTTAGAATTAAAAGCAGAAAAATTCAAGAATGACCCTCTCAGGCATTTACCTAATACAGTACTTTCTTTAATAAGGTAGTCTTTACAAAGTAAAATAAACTCTTGCTAATTTTGTTCACAAATTGACCACTTGGTGTGTTTACATATATTGACTTAGAACTATCTTTCCACAAAGGACAAGCAGGTCTTGCATCACCAACAAAGAGAACCTCAAAATTTGTATCATCGTTCTTCCTTTCTTTATCTTGGCCCTCATAAAGGAAAAGAACCAAATCTCCCATTTTATAAAATGTCATCCCTTATTTCCCCTCTACATTACTAGTAGAATGGAGAACTAAAAACAAAGATTTTGTAAATGAGGTTATAACAGTGTTGATATTATACAAGAATCCAACTTTAAAAACTTAATAACAAAATGCATCCTAAAATAATAGCACAACTTTCTCCTACAGTACTCATACTACATATCTAATAAAGCTGTTACCTTCTCAGAAAGTATGGACATTACCAAGATCAAGTACTAGCTATCATAGCTATCTATCTTTTTTTTTTTTCTGAGAGAGAGAGAGAGACAGCGTGAGCAGGGGAGGGTCAGAGAGAGAGGGAGATACAGAATCCGAAACAGTCTCCAGGCTCTGAGCTGGCAGTCAGCACAGAGCCCAACGCGGGGCTCGAACCCACGAACCGTGAGATTTTAACCTGAACCGAAGTCGGACGCCCAACCGACTGAGCCACCCAGGCACCCCTAGCTATCAATCTTAATGGGTAGTATTTTGCTTGCCATCATTTGTTTTTCAAATATAATTCAGTCATAAAGCTTGGGAATAATAAGGCCACAGGATTATGCTACACTGAGGTTTAGTGAACTTGGCACTGAACCAAGATGCCTTGCATCAATCTTCAGTTTTACCATGACCAACTTTCTGACCTAAAGTGACCCCTTTTTACTGTGATTAAATTACCTCTTGTGAACTAAGAGAAAATTTGTTCCTGAATCCTACCTTGTCTTTGAGGTATTGATACAGTGCAGAATGGGGAAAACATAAATACATGAGAAAAAGTACGGTCAAAACTAAATTCTCCAGAAATCTCAATAACGATTTAAAAGAAAATGTGTAGTTATTTGAGGAAAATCAATTTCAACTGCCTCACTTCATACACACACACAGACCTTCAGATGGACTAAGAGTTAAATGTGAAAGGCAGAAAAATAAAACTAAATAAAAGCCTTCTATTTTTTTTTTAATGTTTATTTATTTACTTTGAAAGAGAGAGTGAACACAGGGGAGTGGCAGAGAGAGGGGGACAGAGAATCCCAAGCAGGCTCTGCACTATCGGTGCAGAGCTGGACGTAGGCATCACTCACAAACTGTTGAGTTCGTAACCTAAGCCGAAATCAAGAGTCAGTCGCTTAACTGACTGAGCAACTTAGGGGCCCCTAAGCTTTCTATTTCAAGATAAGTTGGGCATATTTTGAAATGGCACCTTCCAATTCAAACACATAAAATAATAAAACAAGTATTTTTTAAGTTTTTATTTAAATTCCAGTTAGTCAACATATAGTTTAATATTAGTTTCAGGTGTACAATATAGTGATTCAATACTTTCATACATCACCCGGTGCTCATCACAAGTGCCTGCCTTAATACCCATCACCTATTAAAACAAGTATTTTTATTTAAAAAAATTTTTTTGAGAGAGAGAATGAGTGGGACAGGGGCAGAGAGAGAGGGAGACACAGAATCTGAAGCTGGCTCCAAGCTCTGGCTGAGCTGTCAGCACAGAGCCCGACACAAGGCTTGAACCCACGAACTGTGAGAGTATGACCTGAGCCGATGTCAGATGCCCAACCGACTGAACCACCCAGCCACCCCAAAACAAGTATGTTTAAATCTTAATAAATACATAGTCTAAAAAATACAGTCATGGTGAGAAAAAGAGAAAAATCTTTACAGACCAGAAATGGAGAGACAGATTTCCCTCATCTTCAGAAAGTAAAAAGAGAAAATCCACAATGGTAGGTGAGGATCAAGAAATGCACCATCTTTGGGTCTGGACTGGGGAAAAACACACGGGGCTAATATTGCAACAGCCATAGATGTAGGAACAAGATCCACACAGGCCATACCAGGAGATCTAAACAAGGAAGCAAAACACAAACTAAGGACAGACATTTGCCACCTGCCTACCAAAGAGTTGGTTAAAGCCAAGTGATGCTAGTAGCAAGATCAATGACGCAAGATGAGGGCCTTAGAGCTATGTCATGTAAGTGGAGATAAAACTCAGAACTATATAGTCTATTAAGATGCAAGCACTTTGTATCTTGCCACTGAAGCAAAATTTAATCCAAGATATATATCCTGTAATATTAGGGCTCAGCAACAGAGAACTTCCTACTGGAACCCTGTCAATGCAGAATATGTTCAAAACAAATGGATGATGGACAATTAACTCTTAACTAAACATTACCAACAAAGATCAATAACATGAAAAATATGACATATATCAACTAATAAAACTTACACATAAGGAAACAGAATTAACAAAGCAATCTGAAAGGAATGGAAATTATCAACAAAACAAAAAGACAATCTACTGAATAAAAGAAGATATTTACAAGTGATATATATAAGGGGTTGATATCCAAAATAAATAAAGAACAACTCAACACCAAACCCCCCCACACACAAATAATCCAATTAAAAATGGGAAGATCTGAACAGACATTTTTCCAAAGATGACATACAGATGGCGAACAGATTCATGAAAAGATGCTCAACATCACTCATCATCAGGGAAATGCAAATCAAAACCACAATGAGATATCTTCTTACACCTGTCAGAACTGCTAAAATGAAAAACACAAGAAATAACAAGTATTGGTAGGAATGTGGATCCAAAATGAACTTTCATGCACTGTTTGTGGGAAAGTAAATTGGTACAGCCATTGAGGAAAACAGTATAGATGTTCCTCAAAAAATTAAAAACAGAACTACCATATGATCCAATAATTCCACTACTGGGTATTTACACACAAAAAAGGAGAAAACTAACTAAAAAAGACATCTGCACCCCTATATTTACTGCAGCGTTTATATATAACAGCCAAGATATAGAAGCAACCCAAATATCCACTAATAGATGAAGATGTGGTGTGTATGTATACATATGTATACACACACATATATACATCTATATCATATATATAGAGAGATATACACATACACACAGTGAAATATTACACAGCCATAAAAATCACCATATGAATTCACTCAAAAGTGAAAACAAAACAAATGAATAAACAAAGAAAAAGCAGAATCATACCTATAAATACAGAGAGCAAACTGATAGTTGCCTGAGGAGGGAGGAATGGGGGGTGGGCAAAATGGGTGATGGGGAGTAACAGATAGGCTGTGGTTATAGAAGGAACAGGTCATGAGAATAAAAGGTATGGCATAGGGAATATAGTCAATGATGTCATAATAGTGTTGCACGGTGACAGATGGCAGCTACATTTGCGTTGAGCATAGCACAACATGTAGAGATGTTGAATCACTGCAATATACCTGAAACTTATGTAGTACTGTGTGTCAACTATACTAAAATTTTAAAAATTTTCAAAAAAGAATACATGCCATAGATTAAACAGAAAGAGGGTAAAACTCTATTAGAAATCTTGGCAATTAAAGATACAGTGTTTGAAATGAAAATGTTATAGAAGGCAGATTAGTGACTGTAAAAGGGCATATTTAAAAGAAAAGGTAGTACCTGAATCTTTCATAGCAGCATTATTCATAGTAGGCAAAAGTTGAAACAACCCAAATGTCCGTCAATAATAAACAGATAAACAAAATATGCAATGTTGTTCATCCATAAAAATAACTGAAGCACTGTTCCATACTACAACATGGATGAATTAAAAAATTTTTTAATGTTTATTTATTTTTGAGAGAGCAAGAGAGCACAAGCCAGAGGGGGGGTGGGAGGGGTGGACAGAGGATCTGATGTGGGCTCCATGCTGACAGATGAGCCCGTGGAGCCCAAATTCATGAACCACGAGATCATGACCTGAGCCAAAGTTGGAGGCTTAAAACACTGAGCCATCCAAGTACCCCACAACATGGATGAATTTTAAAAACATTATGCTGGGGGGCGTCTGGGTGGCTCAGTTGGTTAAGCATCTGACTTCGGCTCAGGTTTGTGGGTTTGAGCCCCGCGTTGGGCTCTGTGCTGACAGCTGAGAGCCTGGAGCCTGCTTCAGATTCTGTGTCTCCCTCTCTCTGACCCTCCCCTGCTCAAGCTGTCTCTTTCTCTCAAAAATAAACAAAACATAAAAAAAAAAATTATGCTGGGCGTCTGGATGGCTCAGTGGGTTGAGGACCTGACTCTTGATTTCAGCTCAGGTCATGATCCCAGGGTCATGGGATCAAGCTCCACATCAGGCTCTACGCTGAACATAGAACCTGCTTAAGATTCTCTGCTTCCTCTGTCCCTCTTCCCCACTCACATTTTCTCTCTCTCTAAAATAAATTTTTTAAACATTATGCTTAGTGAAAGAAACCAGACACAAAAGACTACATGTTGTATTATTTCATTTATATGAAATCTCCAAAATAGACAAATCCATAAAGACATTAAGGATAGAATTTTAAAAGACACAAATGCTAAAAAAAAAAAAAAAAAAAAAAAAAAAAAAAAAAAAAAAAAAGTTTATTTATTTTGAGAGAGAGCGAGCATGAGGGAGGGACAGAGAGGGAGAGAGAGAATCCCAAGCAGACTCCACACTGTCAGCATGGAGCCCAATGTGGGGCTTGATCTCATGAACTTTTGTGAGATCATGATCTGAGCTGAAACCAGGAGCTGGACGTTTAACCAACTGAGCCACTCAGTCACCCACTAAAAATTTTTTAAATAAAAAAACAGATCCAGAATAAATAACGACTGAGAATTATCATAAAACAAAGACAGATGTAAGTACTGTTTGAATAAATTTACCAAATGCCAAGCAGGATAAATTTCTTTAAAAAAAAAAAAAAGGCACAAAAAAAGCCACACAGCTGAGCATATCAAAGTAAAATCAGAATAATAAGGATAAAGAGAAAACTCTAAAAACTACAAAAGAGAATCAAATTATCCTGAAGAAACATGAGTTAGACTTCTGATCAGCAATATTAGATACCAGATGATAATTAACTACTATCATCAAAGATCAGGAAAAAAATTAACCTGGAAATCTGGACCTTTAAGGGAACCAAACTACCATTAAAGAATGAAAGCATCTACCTTCAGCTCAGGTCATGATCTCATGGTTCATGAGTTCAAGCCTCCCATCAGGCTCTTTGCTGTGAGCACAGAGCCCACTTTGGATCCTCTGTCCCCTTCTCTTTCTGCCCCTTCCCTGCTGTTTTAATCTGTCTCTCTCAAAATAAACTTAAAGAATGAAAAAAAGTATTTATTATTTATTTCATGTTTTTATTTTTGAGAGGCAGAGTGCGAGTGGGGGAGGGGCAGAGAGAAAGGGAGACAGAATCTGAAGCAGGCTCCAGACTCTGAGCTGTCAGCATAGAGCCTGATGTGGGGCTTGAACTCATGAACCATGAGACCATGACCTGAGCTGAAGTCGGATGCTTAACCAACTGAGCCACCCAGGTGTCCCTAGAATGAAAACCTTTAAACTTTTACATTCCACAAGCCCTTGTTGAAAGAACTAAATAAATCAGCATAACCATTTAAAAATGAGTTTAAATTTACACCTTTTTGCTGAGATAGTGTGGAGACAAGGAAGGAAGAATTATACCATCAACAATATCAAGCTATCTCTTCAATAGCTCTTCAACTGTTAAAGCAGCAAAATTTCAATCATGTGGCAATGTGAACATACATCAAAACCATATACTGGGACTTCTTCCAGCAATGATGAAATAACAGATACTAATAAATCAGCTCTCCTACCAAAAACTTCTATAAAACTTAATAAAACATATGAGTCAATTGTTTTAAGGCATGGGAAAATAAATAGCACAAGATGGTGATCCCTGAGAGAAGGGAAACTCCTGAGGCAAACCCTATGATTGCCCTGGATGTCTGTCTGGGGAAATGTTCCTGTCCACTGAGCAGAAACCTGGAGCCCAAGCAGAGTATAGTGGTTCCAGTATGCTGAGAAGACACAGAACAGAGTTCAGAGGTGCAAAAGTACCTGGAATCTGCAAGGCAGGGCACAGGAGGGGAGGGAGCTGAGCAGAAGTGGGTACTGAAAGTCTGTGTGGGAGCTCCCCATGAGTCCTTGGTCAAAAGCTGGACTATGCATGCACATATAAAATTTCCCAGAGAGCATTTACAACAGAGTTGAGAATGGAACAAGATACAAGTGGTCAAGCAGTGCAGGAAAATGTTGGCCTTCAGAACCAACCAGAATGGAGAGGCCTTGATAAAACTGATGGTGTCCAGCTAAGATGCTGAAAAGGTAAGGCTATACTAGCAAAAGAAATAAAGAAAAGAAAAAGGAAAACAAAACAACAACAACAAAAACCCACTTTCTAGATGAAAATTTGTTCTTGATCTAATCCAAAAAAATGCCTGAAACCAAGACTTAACAAGATCCACAGAGGAGATATTTTGGACATTGATTGGTATCAAGTTAAAGGAGTTTGGGAAATGGCTTGAGTTTCTGCATATGAACCCTATAAAATGTATAAAAACAAGCCAACACAAAGTTAGATTAGCCTTTTAGAACAAAAACAACAGAATATAAAATATGAACACATTACCCAATATAAAATAAGGATTTACTAGACATGCAAAGAAAAACAATGTAACTCACAAGGGGGAAAAAAGCAATAAAAAAAATAACCCAACCCTGTCATAGATGTTATGTTTAGGAAAGACTTTAAGGTATATACTATTATATGTTCAAATACAAAGGTGGCTTAAATGTGTCAAATGATAGGAAATATCAGAAAAAGGTACACTATATAAAAAAGAATCAAATGGAAATTCTATAACTGAAAAGTTCAATAACTGAAATGAAGAATTTGCTGGACATGTGTAATACATTAGATATTACAGAAGAGTCAGTGAAATTATTGAAGACAAAAAACAAAAATTATCCAATCTGGGGCACCCGGATGGCTCAGTCAGTTGAGCATCCAACTCTTGATTTTGGCTCAGTCATGACTCCACGGTCATGGCATTGAGCCCCACATCAGCTCCATGCTGAGTGTGGAGCCTCCTTAAAATTCTGTCTCTCTCTGTCTCTCTCTCTCTCCCTCTGTCCCTACCCCCAACTCATGCTCTCTCTAAAAAAATCTATATCTATATCAATTTCCATATCCAATCTGGACACTAAGAGAATGAAGAAAAAGGAACAGAATTTTAGAGACCTATAGAACAATATCAACCACCACAAATATGTATAATGGGAGTTCCAGAAGGAAAAGGAAGTGGAATAGAAGGAAAAATATGAAATGGACAGGACAAAAAATATGAAAATATGAAAAATACTATTTTTTAATTTGATGAAAAATATTAAAATGTGAAAAGCTCAGCAAACCCCAAGCAAGATAAGTGCAAAAAAAATAATATCTAAGTACATATGGTCAAAGTGATTTTTTAAATAAAGAAGATAAAGAGAAAATCTTGAAACAAGCTGGTGGAAAAAGCACATATTACTTACAAAGGAACTATAATATAAATTACAGCTGACTTCTTCTGAGAAACAATAGAGGCCAGAAGACAATGGAATGACTTCACTTCAAAGCACCATCAAGCTAGAATTTCAAGTCCATTGAAATATCCTTATTTTAAAATGAGGGTAAGACAAAGGCATTTTTAGGTTAAACAGAAGATTAAGTAATTTATTGGCAGAAGACCTGCACTACAAGAAATGCTAAAGGATGTTCTTTAGGTTGAAGATGAAAGCCTAGACATACAGGAAGAAATGAAGAACACCAGAAGTAAATGAGTAAATACAAAACATTTTTTCTTCTCATACTTTTCTTTTTTTTTTTTTTTTTTACAAATAGTTTATTGTCAAATTAGTTTCTACATAACACTCAGTGCTCATCCCCAAAGTGCCCTCCTCCATGCCTCTTCTCATACTTTTCTTAACATACAACTAACAGTTTAAAGCAAAAACAATAACATCGTAAGGCAGGAATTATAACATCTGAAAATACTCAAAACAGAGCAAAAAACAGTACTAAATTATAACCCCCCAAATAAAATAAATAGCCAAAAGTTCATCCTGATTAAATAACTGGATTAATAAGTAAAAGATTTAGAAGGGAGAACTCTTCATTATAGATAAATTCCAATAAATAAATGTAGAAGAAATGAGGACATATGATATCAC